GGTGGGTGTTGCCTTCTGCCACACTTCCGGTGATGTCAGGGTGTGTGGCATATGCAAATAAGTTATGCTAATGAGTTATGCTAATGAGCTCCTGCACCTCTTTTTCTACGAAATGACCTCTGGAAATTATTATGCTGTTTGGTGCTAATTTCTCCCCCCCCCCAACCTTCTGGCTTTCTTCCTTGTCCTTTGTCTTCCTCTGCCTAGATTTGAAAAGGGACGGATCTATACTTACATTGGGGAAGTGGTGGTTTCTGTAAACCCTTACAAGAACTTAAACATCTACGGCCGGGACCAGATTGAACAGTACAAAGGTCGGGAGCTGTATGAGAGACCCCCTCATCTCTTTGCCATTGCGGATGCTGCGTATAAAGCCATGAAGAGACGATCAAAGGACACGTGCATCGTAATATCGGGTACGTCACGGGGGTACCTGCTGTTACCGACTGGGGAACGTTCTAATGACCTTTTTGAAACGTGAAGCAAAGCAAGTCACCGTGGCCAGATTATGCCACTGCTTCCTTGATACCTTTGAGGCTCTTTTTCTTAGCTAGTAAAAAGTAAAGGTTCCCTTGCTCGAAAGCCAGTCGAGTCCGACTCTAGGGTTGTGGTGCTCATCACTGCTTCCAAGCCGAAGAGCCAGCGCTGTCCAAAGACGTTTCCGTGGTCGTGTGGCTGGCATGACTAAACACCAAGGCGCACGGAACACTGTTACCTTCCCACTGAAGTGGTCCCTATTTATCTACTTGCAATTTCTTGCTTTCAAATAATATCGGGTACGTCACAGGGGTACCTGCTGTTACCGTCTGGGGAACGTTCTAATGACCTTTTTGAAACGTGAAGCGAAGCAAGTCACCGTGGCCGGATTATGCCACTGCTTCCTTGATAGCTCTGTGGCTCTTTTTCTTAGCTAGCAATGAAATAAAAAGGCAAAGGTTTCCCTTGCTCAAAAGCCAGTCGAATCCGACTCTAGGGGGCAGTGCTCATCTCCGTTTCCAAGCTGGCCGAAGTCGTCTCCGTGGTCATGTGGCCAGCATGACTAAATGCCGAGATGCACGGAATGCTGTTACCTTCTCACCGAAGGAGTACCTATTTATCTACTTGCAGTTTCTTGCTTTCGAACTGCTAGGTTGGCAGGAGCTGGGGCCAGAGACGGGAGCTCACTTCGTCACACGGCACTCGGCTCTCGAACTGCTGAACTACAGACCCTTCTGGTCTGCAGCTCAGCATCTTAACCTCTGAGCCACCACGGTCTTAGCAGTGAAATAAGTACACATAATATTCAACTGCACATAGATCTTTGTTTAATTTTGCTTGTAAGAGTCCCGTTTTCCCAGCTTCTTTGCCCCTCCGCAGACACCCCCAAGATGCAGTGAGCTAGAAGAATGAGCTGGTTATACTGAGTCAGCTTAGGTCAGAGACGGATCATGTTTTTAAAGGATTAAAAGTAACTGAGAGAAGTTTCATGTCCTGTGATGTATACATTTCATTTTGCCACTGTTGTCGGGTCAAATGGATTTTTGCCAAAAGAGGCCTTCCAGACTGTGTTCATAAAATAAAATTAAAACCACATTAATGCTCCCTCCCGTTCCAAATTGTCTGCTGTTACTGCGAGAAACTGCTCGTTGCCAGGATCTCACGGGTCTCTCCCAGCACTGTCACCAATGTTCCCTCTAAGCTGAGTTAGTGTGAGCTAGCTCACAGTTTTTTAGCCTCCAGCTCACAGATTTTTATCTTAGCTCAGGAAGCATGGCTCCAGAGCAATCTAATAGTAGCCAAATCATTCGCTCACAATTTTAATGCCAGTAGCTCACAAATTAGAATTTTTGCTCACAAGACTCCATAGCTTAGAGGGAACATTGGCTGTCACCTAACAGTCCTTAATCATAAACACCAGAAACTGAATTTGGCCATAGACATCTAATATATGTGTTTAATGCCGAGCTTGCTTTACGTAGCGAAGAAGCCAGAGATGACACAAAATTGTGCAAAATGCTGTACTGCCGTGTGTCATGGATAATCAGTGTAAGCACATCCTGTTTGTAACTGAAGAGACAGGTTGCTTTGTGTTGCGCCTTACGATGCCCGTCTGTCTGTGCCCTTAGGAGAGAGCGGGGCGGGAAAAACAGAAGCAAGTAAATACATCATGCAGTACATAGCTGCCATTACCAACCCAAGCCAGAGAGCTGAGGTCGAAAGGTAAGGAATTTTTGGCCTTGTGGGGAGGGAGAAAAAGACAGTGATTGAGTACATTTGGGATGTTGAATGCTCTCTGGGGCTGTCCGCAAATTAATTGCATGCAGGGCTTTTTTTGTAGAAAAAGCCCAGCAGGAACTCATTAGCATAATAGGCCACACCCAACAGCAGAAATTCATTTGCTTATTAGGACACACCCCTGACAGCACAGCTCATTAGCATATTAGGCCACACCCCCATGTTACCAGAAGTGTGGTCATCCAGCCACACTCACCTTTTGCTTGTTATTCTGTTGACCTTATTTGTTGTCAAGACCCAGGGCCTTTTTTTGTAGCAGGAACTCCTTTGCATGTTAGGCCACACACCCCTAATGTAGCCAATCCTAACGAGTTTCTGCTGTTGGGTGTGGCCTATTATGCTAATGAGTTCCTGCTGGGCATGGCCAACTCGGGAGCCAGCCGGAACTCCGTTCCTGTGCGTTCCTGCCCAAAAATAGCCCTGATTGCATGGAGGGTTCAGTAATAGTCTGTTTCTGGATTGGGATGGTTGGGTGGGGAGGGGGTTGGAGTAATGAGAGCCCCAGACGGCCTTGCTCACTCTTGGGCAACCTGCTAATTTGTTTTTTGACCACAGTTCAAGGTGCTGGTTTTAAAAGTGTAATCCTCCAAATGGCTTGAGCCTCGTGCATCAGGGTTGCCGGTCTCCAGGCGATGGCTGGAGATCTGCCAGAATAACAACTGGTGTCCAGGTGACAGAGATCATAGAATTGGAAGGGACCTCCAGAGCCAGCTTGGGGTAGTGGTTAAGTGCACGGACTCTAATCTGAGAGATAATCTGAGAGAACCAGGTTTGATTCCCCACTCCTCCACTTGCACCTGGCTGGATGACCTTGGGCAAGCCCTAGTTCTGATAAGAGCTGTTCTTGAGAAAGAGCAGTGTCTGTCAAGAGCTCTCTCAGCCCCGCCTACCTCACAGGGTGTCTGTTGTGGGGAGGGGAAGGGAAAGGAGTTTGTAAGCCGCTCTGAGACTCCTGTGGGTAGTGAAGGGCGGGGTATAAATCCAATCTCTTCTTCTTCTTCTTCTTCTTCTTCTTCTTCTTCTTCTTCTTCTTCTTCTTCTTCTTCTTCTTCTTCTTCTTCTTCTTCTTCTTCTTCTTCT